TCCTTGTTCCATGTACCATGTATCTTTGTCCTGAGATCTTCCATATCCCCTTCTCCAGGAAAAAGCACACTGGAAAATGTTACCCGTTTGCCTCAATTTACAAGGTGCACATAAAACTGCTTGTCTGGAAATCCAGTCTTCAGGGGATTCACTGGAATAGACTTTACTATGTGGCAGACAGTTCCAGAGCAAGGCAGTAAACAAGGCATGTATGTTTAGGGATGGCTTCACCCTCTTTAAAGCCAAGGACTTCTTTCCCTTTGTTTGAGAAGGCTGTGCTCTTAGCTCTGGCTCTACTCCTGAGCTGGGCTGCATCAGGGCTCCCCCAGCCTGATACCTGACAAGAGCAACACGATTATGGCCAAAGTCAATGCCTTACTTATTATGTCTGCCAGCCAGTTCCCTCTTCCTAATAAATCCTGAAACCCAGGATTTTAATCAGATCTCCCAGAGCAGCAGAGGTCCCAGTGATTTTACACTCCATTTCTCATGAAAATAAGCAGCCACTGCAGGAGAGGAGAACCTGTTAGCTCCATCACCAAAGGGGAGTATGAGCCATGAGCTTAATTAGACACAGGGGAGTTTGTAGCAGCAAACATGTCCCAACAGCTGGAAAACCTTCTCTCCTGGCTTGTAGCCTTGTTAGACAGCAGAGAGCCCATGCTGGAGGCAGGATGCTGTTGTGTTCTGCTCATGCAACTGCCAGTTCTACAACGCAGCTGCCTTCAGCATTGCATAAAATTAAGGCCTTGGATTAAAAGCATAGATATATTTTTAAAGTCATATTGATCATTGTAACATGCTGTAAAAGCATGTGCCCATCCTTTTCTGAGGGATTTGTCACACAAGGTGATGTGCACCATTCCTGGTGGCAGACACTAAATGGAGGTAACACACAGGTCCCACACCTGACTCCAGCTGTGCTTGGAACACCCTTTGCTGCAGGCAGGGAAATAACTCTGGAGAGACAGCACTCCCTGATGGCTGCAGGCAGCTGGGCTTCACCTCCAGCCCATGCATCTCCTCATGCAGGGCTGGGAAGTTTGTTACAGAGAGGGCTGCACAATCACTAACGGGGCACACAGTTCCCAGGGAGGATTCTTGTCTTGGGGCCTCTCCCTGGTCAGAGTGACCCTGGGAAAATGTTACAAAGTCTCTTTTCCCAGCCCAGAACTCGAAGAAGGAGTCAGAGCTCTTCATTTCTGTCTCAAGGTTGTTTATTGTTCCTTATCTATAAAATATTTTCTCCTGTCCTGCCAAGGTCCGTCCAGCAGGACAGTTCCAGGCACTCTGCCTGCCCCAGGGCAGTGTTATGTCTTTATACCAAAAACCACGTGTACAATGTTTACAATTACTTTCCAATACCTATCACCTATGTTAGACCATGAGCTTCTACTCTAAACCAATCTAAAAGTGCCAACATCACAGCAGAAGATGGAGGCCACGAAGGAGAAAGGCTGGACATGCCCGGATGCCTCCATCTTGCCTCCTGAACCCCCATTCTAGAAAATCCCAAATTTACTTTTTCACCCCATGATAAATTCACTGTCATTCTACTTAACTGTGATGGCCTGCAGATCTTCATCTAAAGTTGGTAATTTGCTCCACAGGTCTTAATCAAAACCACAGGCATATTGGGCTCTGTGCCAGGGTCTCTGAGCCCCTGGCAGGGTCTTGGCTGCCCAGGACAGCCAGAGGCATGTCCTGGGTTCTGATTCTCACCTCAGTGCATGGCATTGCAACCTCGAGAAAGCTGTGGATTATTTTGAGTTAAATTTACTTGCTTTTGGGGGCTTTCTTTTGCATACAACCTACACGAGGTTTGGGGACTGTTGTTCTTGCTCTTCTGTTTTTAACAGGGTTTTGCAGCAAAGGACACAGTTTTTGTGAGGATTGCTGAGGCTGTGTTCACAGTGGTAGGGAGTTTGAATTTTTATTTCTTAATGGCATTCTTTCTGGCTGCTGGACTTCCTGGCTCTGTTACTTGCTTTTTGTTATTGTTCCTGTTAAAACTTGCAATTAAGAGCCTTGCTATGGGAAAAGAAAGCCATGACACCAGCACTGTAACCTGGGCTGGGTCACTGGAACACATCCATCTATCTGTCCCTGCCCATCAGCATTTCTCTAAGGCCCATTTGCCTTATTTCTACTCCTTCCTCTTTGAAGGCGCCTCACCGCTCCCTCATTAATTTTCGTTCAGTGTCGCCAGCAGGTCTAATCTCTCATTAAAATGCAGAAAGTCAGCCCCTTCCCCACCTGACTCCCTGCAGGGCTGTAGGAGCAGTACCTGCAGCCCACCCGTGCCAGGGGAGCGGGGCTGCTTCACCTCCCACGTGTCTGCAAAGGTTTCTTTGCTGTTTACAAACACGTTGGATTTGCCCGACAGTCCCTGCTCTGCTTTTCATGTTCCGTGCATGGCAAATAGCACTGATCTGTGCCTTGATCTGCAGTCAGCAAAATCACTTGCTTGCATTTGCTACATCAAAGCAGGGAGGGGAGGGGGGAGAAGCCATCTGGTGAATTAGCTCTAATAAAAATAAAAGGGGTCTCTTTGCATAATAGAGTATTAGGGGATGATACTGTGGGGTTGTTGGGACAAATGGCTCTAAAGGGTTTTGACAGCTCCCAGGCATCTTGGCTTATGTTGCAATACAAACATGGTGAAAGCAGAGCTCCATTAGTCGGTGGCAACTTGTCTATTGATTGCAATGAGGCTGTGATTTCTTCCCCATATAAATGTCTCGGTCAGCTGAATCTCATTACAACAATGTGCAGAGCATTTATTCAATATGCTTGAGCTTCATGGCTTGTTCGTTTCTTCTGCTGCTCCTATAAAGCTGCTTTAACATTTCCACTGTTCACTGCTCACACAAGTTGTTCTGCTGCTCGGGGTCCTTTGGTGGCACACAGGGGCTTTTTCAAGAGGTGAGAAAGGCAGTCCTTATTTGTTACTTGTCTAATTTCTCTTTGCAGGAGAGCAATTTTCCTGGGGAAGAAGGGGATCATCCTTAAAGGAAGCAGGACAGGAATGGGCCACAGCCCCCAGCCTGTGGTTACAATTAGCCCTGTTCAGTTCAGAATGGTGGTTTTTAATACCCACACCTTATGGGACAGTCTGGATGAAAGAAGATTGTACTTGAGAAGACAGATGAGGATGACTTGAAGGCAGTGGGATTTTATTTTTAAAGTGGGTACAGTTTGCAAGCAGCTGGCATCATCTCAGGTTTCATTTGGAAACTATCTGCTCCAATTTGCTCTACATAGAAAAAAGATTAGGATTCTATTTTTGTTTGGTTCTGGTCAGACCTCTCCCTTCCACCACACAAACATCCAGACGAAGATGCACACACGTACACACCTGCCCATATGAGTTAGCCTCTCATTGCAAACATATTTAAGGGTCAGGCTCTGCTAAATAGTCAACACACATTCATTATTTGGTGGATAAATAGAAGATTGATTGGCTGGAAAAGACTTTCAGTGATGGGGAAATGGCTGCAGGTGCCCTGCTGCAGGGAAAGCACACCTGAAAACACAGATGATGAGTGGTTACAGCAAATCTTGCCCGAGGTGAAGTCCTAATTCTGTTTTTTGCTGAGTTACTCATGCAGTGGAAAGTAACTGCAGCCATGTTGCTTTGCAGGATTCATCTGGTTTTGAATGGTACACAGTACCTCACTATGCTATGGATCATGGTAGATACAAATCTAAAAATGACCTGTATCCAAGAGATCTCCTCGTCCTCACGGACAGGATCATAGCCAGGCAAGGAAAAACAGAGAAAAATATTTACAGCCAGCTGTTGGTGGCAATTCAGGGAAAGTACAGCCAGTGTGGTGTGGCTGTGCTGGTACTCTGTGTGTGCTCACTGTGGTCTTGGCCAGAAGGGACCTCTCAGGGTCTCTAGTCCCACCTCCGACCTGGAACAGGACTGTGGCCAGCACTGGACCAAGCCGTGGCTTCTTCTAGCAGAGCTGTGAAAATCTCCAGGGACAGAGGCTTAAACAGGCTGCTCCAGAGATGCAGAATCCTCCTTGCAAAGCATTTTCTCCCTCTGTCCACCCTGAACTTCCCAAACCATAGCCAAGGCCATTGCCCTGCACTTGAGAAAAGCTTGGCTCCTTTGTTACTGTGACCGTGTTTTCTGCAGGCTGCTGTCAGCTTCGTCCTCAGCCTCTTCTTGGTCAGGAAAATCAAGTCCAGCTGCCTTCTCTCCTCATGGGGACCAAGGTCCATCTCTACAGAACCCTGTCAAGCTTCTCTACATCACCGTGAACCAGGACAGCTGAACTGGAAAGAATTTTCTGTATGAATTCCATAGGAGAGGAGGGAGGAAGCTTCACACCCTGGTGGCCACATTCCAGCTCACAGAGCCTGGTGCATGGTTTGTCTTCCCTGAGGTGGCAGCAAGGGGCTGGCTGGAGTCTGATGAGGCAACCTCAGTGATTTTTGGCAGAGCTGCTGGCCAGGGGGACGTCACAGTCTGTACCTATGACTGGGGTTATTGCAGCACATCTCCTCACAGACTCCTGGCCTCTCCTCCTTTTATAGCTACAGATATACATGTAAATATGTACATATGCATACAGGAGAACAGCTATATGAGGAATACAAAACCAGCTGGGATCTAGGAAGTAAAATCCATGAAACAAAGCTGCTGTGGCAACAGCTATTGTGCAACTGAAATTGTCCTCATGAGTGAGAGGACACACGAATTAAATTATCCAGAACTACCACAAAAGAGCTGAGCTGTAAAAGTGTTTCCAATACAGAGAAACTTCCCCACACCTGTAATTAGGTTTGTGTCAACATCCCTTCCCTTACCTTCCCCTTGCACAGGAGCAGACCTGGCTCCTTGCTCAGCCAAGTGTAACCCTCAGCACCCCACAGGCCCTCAGCCTGCCCAGGGCAGCTCAGCTGGTTTCTCACCCTCACCACACCTGGGCTCCTTCCAGCAGCTGCAGCAAAGGAGAGCAGTGAAAGGCTGACGGTGGTGTCAGGTGACTGCAGATCAAACAGGAGATGAAGAAAAGCTCCTCCTGCCTCTCTAGACTACTCCTGGCCTGGGCACAATTGGTTTCTGGACAGAGCCAGGTAAGCAGGTGATTTAGGGTAGTAAAATACCCATAAGTTTGGAGACTTGAAATCACCAAGTCACTCTGAACTCCCTCTCCTGACAGCCTGATGCCAAAATTGGGTACATCCCACTTTTGTACACCTGATGTGCAGCCAGGGCAGGCACTATGGGATGGTGCAGGCTGAAGGACAGAGCCTTTGATCCCTTTGTTCCACTGTAAATGTTTAGATACTCAAGGCTGTTGCTTTCTGTGTTAATCATCTGCAACCAAGATTGTGCCCTCTTAAAGCTGTGCCTCCCTTTCAAGCAGTGGGCAGGTCAAACATCTGCTCCAAGCAGCTGAATTGCATCACCATGACTTTTTTTAGCTATGTTGCACACTTTTAAGTCTCCAGCCTCCTCTTTGTCTCAGTGCTCTGTTCACCAGCGTTTCCACCAAGGGGCAGAGAGTGTTTCTCTGAGATGTTGTTTCTCTGGCTCAGGATTATATTAATAATTGCAAAGCAAAGTCCCTATATGAGGGAACAGCATTTGGCTCTAATAGGAACCAAGTGTCAGTGTGAGAGTGCTGAAGGAGGGGGAAAGGGGAAAGAGGCACAAAGCAAGCACAGATCTCTCCTTTCCCTTACAATATTGGTAGGGTTTCAAGATTTTTCCAGTTCATATTCTCCTAAAGTACAGCACCCAACAGCTTTTCAAAAGCAAAAAGACACAATCTGCTCCAGCAACATCATTTCTAGAAGCACTGAGCATGGGGGGGAGGTAATTTCCTTGTCACAGAGCTGTCAACAAAGCAGCTGTTTGTAACATCACAGCTTGGCAAACCTCCTCCCATTTAAGTGCTTTCCCTTTTGGCTTTGCTCTGTGCTTCCCAGCTTCAGAGTGCTAGAGCAAAAACTTGCCTTGTGCTGGAGTTTTGTTTTGAACGCACATGAAAGGGGGGATGATGCAGGAGAGCAATTATCAGCCTGAAAGTAATTACAGGTGGCCACTGGTGCAAGAGCCATGGTGGCACTGCACACAAAAGCTGGAGAGGCAATTGGTGATGGTCTGACGTGGCGATACCCGAAGGAAACCAACAGGACTGTCTGACAGTCATGAGATGGGTGCCCAATGAGTTGGAAAACACGTAAGAACTTCATATATTCTGCTAATGCAAAGTGCTTGTGAGTGCTGATGTGCCTGGAAATGGGGATGAGAGGAGCTGCACACAGAGTGACTTCTTTAAAAACTGGCTGGATAAAGCTGCTGCATTATGCAGACATGGTCCTGCATGATGCTGACCAGGTAGAAACTCAGACAATAGATGATGCCATTCTCAAAGGGTATTTTTTGGCCGTGAGTGATTCCCAATCACCACATTGCTGAGAGAGCAATCTTGGCATGTTTATCCCATATTTTTCTTTACCAAAATGAAATTCCAAAAGAGCTGGTCCATCCAAAGAGCCTGAGATGGGGTTTGGGTGCAGCTTTAACAAAGTTTTTACCCCCCATTCCCTGCATCTCCACGTGTATCTATCCTTTCAGCTGTGGTTTCCAGAGCAGCACCTTTCTGCCAACCCTGACACAGCCAGCAGGGCTCTGGAGCAGCAGGATAACCAAAAGCAGGACAAAGGAGGTGTTGCCCACCTAATTTGGGATTTACCTCACCTAACCTGGAGCGAGTCACCCTCTCCTCCCTCTGTGGTGAGTCCAGCAGAGGCTGATCCGTCTCGCTCCAGAGCGGATGTCAGAGGGAGATCAGGTGTATCACACCTTGGACGTGCCTGCTTTCCACTCAGTGTGGAAGGAACATGACAGCTCATCCCAGTGAGAGGCTTGGAGCCGGATGACTCAGCCTGACCCAGGGGCTCCCACAGGCAGCTCAGATCCCTCCTCTCTGCTATGGAAGAATCAATATCCTCCCATCGGGTCACATTAGCATGTGCCTGCTCCTGCTCCCAGCAGCATTCTGCCCTCAGGGATCAGGGACAAGTCTTACCAGAGTCCAACACCAAAAGAGCAAGGGGAGAAGGGAAAATGGCAGGACCCAGCCTGAGCAATGCACAGAGATGTTCCGGCCCAGCAAAGTGCCTGCAGCAGTGGCACCCTCCACTCTCTGCTGAGGGAGTCCTGGTTGTTGCAGTAAAGCAGACAGCACTCAGTTTCTTCATGCAGGAAATAATAATTCTTTATTTACAAAGCTCATATTTATAGGAAATATCAGAAGGCACTGTGTTAGACCTAATTGGCTAACAATACACTGACACTCAGTTTATTGGTGGGTAAATGGCCAGGGTGTACCTCTGTCAAATCTCTCTATTTTTGGTTAGTTTACATATTTTGTTCACTGGTTCCCATGGGACAGATTTCTTCGTTATTACAGGTGCAAACAGTTCTCTTACCAGAATAGTTTGTTGTGCTAACTGCTTCCATTTTAATGATTTTTCACATGGGAAGTTGCAAGCTAACTGCTAGCTTAGCTAGAGTAACAGGGCCTAAACCATATTTTATAAGGCCTTTCTTCTATAGTGTCTCTATTTGTGGGCAACACTGGGTACCTGGTGGCAGGACAGTGGCTGACTGTGATGTCAGTGGAATCACCCTGCTATAGGGCTGTCTGGGATTTTTGTCACTGCTGAAATCCTGCCTGCCCAGCAGCCTGCTGAGCAGCACCAGAGGGACATCACCTTCCCAAGGAAAGGCTAAATGGTGCGGCAAAAAAAAAAAAAAAAACACAACAGAAAGCAGAAACAGTAGGAACAGGGCTTGCCTGGCTTGCAGCTGAATCACGAGCCTCAGGCTGCTGTGTGGCTCTGAAGGGTCGGATGGGCAGCAGGGCTGACACTTCCCTGGGAAACCACTGCTGGCCTGTCACTCCACATATTCAGCATTTTCTCACAAGCCAGGGTTCTGCCAGGACACACAAGCAGATTTTATCATGGTTTGAGAGTGAGATATCAGGGTCAGGGAAGGCTGTGCTCCATGTGAGCTGGTTTGAATCCCTGCTGGATAGCCCAGCTTTCAGAATGGGGCACCTTTTCCCCAATATTGCTGCCCCATTTGGAAGTCCTGAGATGTACATTACAGCTAATGAGATCAGGCTTGTCTGAAGCCAGTCACTGCTCCTGTCCTGCAGAAATTAGTCTCCTGAGAGCAGAGACAGCACTGTCAGCTGGCAAGGTGTGCTGGGCTCCAGGACCTTCTCAGCATCCGAATCTTGGCCACCAGTCCCTGGAGTAGAGCCTGGAAGTCCATTTTCTCTGTAACTCCTCCAAAAGGCTCTGGATAGCATGGTTTTCCACACTGGGCATTACAAATACCCTATATCATGAGGTCTAAAGGAGTTTTCTGTTCAGAGGCTCTGCTCCCATGTGCAGGGGGTTGTGGCAGTGTCCCTTTCCCAGGGACATCACGCAGACATTTGCTTAGCCCAGAGATGCTGCTGTGGCTGCAGCATCTTACCCAGATGTAGGTGAGCACTGTGATGGGTTGAGCCTGGCTGGGGGCCAGGTGCCCATCAAAGTTACTCTGTCACTCCTGTCACTCCCCTGCTCATTGGGGGAGAAGAAACATGACAAAAGACAGGGAGAGATAAAAGCAGGGAAATCACTCACCAGCTACCATCAGGGGCAAAACAGACCTGACTTAGGGAAAAATTAGTATAAATTAGTGCCAGTCAAATCAATGTAGGATAATGAGAAATAGAAACTAAATTTAAAACACCTTTCTCCCCCTCTCCGTCTGAATCCAGGCTGGACTTAACTTCCACATTCTCTGCCTCGTCCCCCGCATCAGTGCGGGCAGAGGGGGAATGGGTGCTGCATTCAGCTCATCACACACTTTCTCTGGTGCTCCTTCCTCCTCAGGGGGAGGACTTCCCACACTCTTCCTAGCACCAGTCTCTCCCACAGGAGACAGTCCTCCATGACCTTCTCCAAGGTGAGTCCTTCCCACAGGCTGCAGTTACTCACAAACTGCTCCAGTGCGGGATCCTTCCATGGGGTTGTGAGTCCTATCAGTAAATCTGTTTCAGCATGGATTTGCCATGGGGTCACAACCTTCTTTGGGCATCCTCCTGCTGCAGCATGGGTCTCCTCCAGGGGCTGTGAGTGGATCTCTGTTGTCTTTATATTACAAAGGTTCTATTATCATTACATTGCAAAGGTTTCATATTGCTAGAGTTTTGTACCTCTGTAATGTTTCTTGTAGGCATCTCCTCTAAGCACTGACTCTTCCCTGTCCTCACAGCAGCCAGCTGACTCCAGTTCCCCTCAACTAACCAATCCACTCTTTTATAACACTCTTCTGACTGGCTACAGCTGTGGCCTGTTAACATCAGGCCTGCTCATAATCCTTAATAATTGGCTCAGCTGCAACTCTTTAGGGGGTAAGATTACTTTCTATACTACCTTTATTTACTTATGTTCTATCCCCCTACAATTCCCCCTTTTTCTTTTAATAACGGAGTTGCAGCATTTCTAGAAGGACAGGTTCAAATAAATTAACATTATGACACATTCATATATTTCACTTAGAACTAAGAGTTATACAGATGTTCAGACAACTTATTATAGTATGAATATATATATTTCTGAGTGTTGGTTCAGTTTTGCAGCTTTTCTCAGTTTACAAAGTACTTATCTTCAAAGTCTTTTATACTCATATTTAACAAACACTAATAGCTACAATTGATATATTTTACCAATAGTTTAGTATTCAAGTCCTTTTCCCCGAACCTACGGGGTCATATAGTTTAATGTTTGAGTCCTTTGCCCGAATCATGTCGGGATCACCATTTGTTGTCATTATATTCCAAGGGTTCTATTGTCATTACATTGCAACAGTGCCATATTGCCAGAGTTTTGTACCTCCTTGATGTTTCTTGTAGGCAACTCCTCTAGGCACTGACTCTCAGCCAACTGACTCCAGTTCCCCTCAACCAACCAATCCACTCTTTTATAACACTTTTCTGACTGGCTACAACAGACCTTGGGATCTGCAGAGTTGTTTCTCTTGTTCTCAGGCCTCTCTCCAGCTGCATTTCCGTTTGTTGTTTGGGGTTTTTTCCCCCATAAATATCTTATCCCAGAGGTGCTGCCACAGTCACTGATGGGCTCAGCTTTGTCCTGGTTCCCTCCTGGAGCCAGCTGGCATTGGTTCTGTTGGACATGGGGGAAGCTTCCACCAGCTTCTCACAGAAGCAACCCCTGTAGCCCCCCTGTACCAAAACCTTTCCATTCAATCCCAATACAAGCATTCAGCCCAGCAAAAATTGCTGATCTTACTGGTGGTTTTAATAACTTCCATAAAAAGCACTCATGGAAATGAAAGGAAGCAAGTAGACAATGTGTTGAAGAACACAAACTTTCAAAAAGTCATTCATGCCATTAGCTCTTCATTTTTTCACTTCCTGTATTTAAGTGCCAATTGAACACATGTAGGAAAATCAGCCTGCCATGCTTGGTTTCTGGCACTGTTTATAACTGCCAGCTAATTGTATTGAATGATACATCTACTTGATGTATTTCATATTCAAATAAAAAACAGAGCAGAAGACGATCATCATGAAAATGTCTTGCATGCGTCAAAAGACTGTGAGAGGGATTAATTTATTAATATTTAATGAGTGATTTGAAAAGGTGAAGTGTCTAAAAATGCAAAGTGCTGTGAGAAGTCTGTTAATGATGAAGAATGCTGGATATATTTTATTTATGCACTTTGACTACACATAACAGCTAAAAAAATACAAATCCAAACAAGGATGAAGAGACAAACACTGCAGTGGAGAATTTGTCTCATGAGACGTGCCCTGGGTTCACCAAATGACCAGGTTTCCTCTCTGGGAGCAGTGTTCAGTGCCCCAGGGTGGGTTAACCCTGGTGGGGTCAATGCTGGCTGTGGGGTCAGAGCCCAGGGGCAGTGATAGCTCCAAGCTCTGTGCTGGGACATGCCCTTCCCTTCCTCTGTGTGTGATATGAGATGCTTACGTCTCACCCATGCCCCCAGACTTGGACCTCACCCAGCTCCTGCTCCCTCCCCTGGCTGCCCAACTCAACAGGTGGAGACCCTGATGTGAGCATCCACATCCAGGCATTTGTTGTTCGGGTTGGGGCTTGTGTAGGGTGCCTTATACAATGCCTTGGGTCAGGGCCTCCACAAAGCTGTTTTGCTGTCAGGCACAGCTTTGAGCTGTTTCGTGTAGTGTAGGCTGAAAAGTCTGTGCTGTGCATGCCTGGATAATAAATACATACATAAAAATAGATGTGCGTGCACCACAAACATTTGAACATAAATCAGATTGCCCACAGGCAATGCACTTAGTGAATGCACACCCATCTGAGGTGTGAGCAAGAAATAACCTTCAAAGCTATCAAAGGCTGCTGTTTGCTTGGGTTGGGAGGCCAAGTGAAGGCAAAACCTTCTCTCTGACTGCCTTGCAATGACTTTACTTTGATATAATCTCAGCTGCACTTATATCATCTTCTGCACATGCAAATACCTTCCCCACCTTGGTCTCTTTCAATTTCCAGCTGGTTTCACTACAGGAAAATATTGACAAAGGCTTGTTGCATTTTCTTCCTTTCCTAAACACTCCTGACAAATTCTTATAAAGAAAACTACAGACTACACATAAAAAAATTAGTCTTGGAAAAAAAAAAAAAGATTTTGTATTGAATTAAAGGGTTGAAATTGGCACAAACATAGGATTATCAATGTATTTATTGATTGTCTCTTGAATGTAGTGATGATAATCATTAAGCATCCATATGGGATGAAGCTGAAGTCCCTTAACCTCCCCAGCTGACCCAGCACTTCTTGCCCCCTGTCCTGAATACAGCTTCTTCTTTCCTCAGAGATACAGACAGTGTTTTCTGCAGTAAAAAAGCACCAATGATTCTGTGAGGGGTTCAAGTTTGATTCTGCTGCAGATTCTGCATGAGCTGGGACAAGATACTTCTTCCAAACACTCTCAACTTGTCTTAGCAGGGAGAAGAGGGTCTCTTCCTTTTCCATTTGGAATTATTTATATCATTACAGTCAGAAGGATTATAAAATATGAGGGCAAAGTGCCTGACATGGGGCCTTTTGGTGTTAATATTGTCACTGTAAAAGAGCATGCTTGCATAAATGTGTAGTCTTGCACACACAGTCAAGTACTTTGGTGTGGTTTCCTGAAGGAAAAGAAGTCCCTAAGCATCATCAGTGGAGAATAGGCTGTGGCCTCAGCCCAGCACAGAGGAAAACAGGGAAAGAAATACTTGGATGTCATTCCTGTAACAGGAATTCATGTAACTGGTGTCCACCCTCACATTCTCAAAACTGCAAGGTGGACTGGAATAATTTGGTCCTTCTCCATCATCCTTAAAGCACAACTTCAAGTGAGTTTTCTCATACCAGCTGTGATCCTGGGTCATATTTTGGTTGGGTTTGGGCTACAGAACCTTCTTCATCATTTATCATTCATGCCACATATCATTTAAATTCTCTTTCAGCAGCTACAGGTTCATTCCCTTTTCTCTAAACTTAGATGTGAACTCTCTATTACTCATATATTCACTAAATGATATCACTTAATAGGTTCTCTTTGCCTCTACCACATTTCCATAACTTGTTCTTTAATCTTCCTTTGATCCTGAATACCAGAGAGATTTATGAGCAATTTATTCTTACGTTGTTGTACTTGTTTAATCTTTCATTTTCAGTTGGATTCATTTTCAAACAGGAGTGCTTGTTATAGGTTCAGATTATTGTTGACAGTTGGGACCTACCTGCTTTTTCTGAGGCAGGTTTCCATTGCTGTGTTTCATCTTTATCACTTTCCTCTCAACATGCATTTAACACAAGGGCTCCAAGCAATTCCATGGAACTCCTTTCTGCCTTCAGATGGAGACTGGGGCTTTCCCTTCCTTTGGCACGTGTTTGATTAGACCTTTCTCTAAAGGCACAATCATGACATCCCTTTTCCCAGCTCAGACAGCTGGCTGATGATCCATAACACCAGCTCCATCCCTTTTCCCATGGCTTTGATCAATGAATGCAGCTCTTTTTTCATCTAATATTTTTTTGTTCTATTGCAGAACAAGCTACCAACAAATGTGTTGCCTTGGGAGCACCTTGTGCTGGTAGGTTTGAGAGATGACAAGGGGTGTCTGCATCCATCTCTAGCAGAGGTACCCGAGCTAAAGCCTCCAGCTGCCCTCACAGCTGAGCAGTTTATTGAAGGAACCAATTTGTTCCCTGGGAAGATCTTTTCCATCTGTCCACCTGATTCTTCAAAACAGAAGAAGGAAGAGCAGGCAGCTGGTCACCCCCACAATGTGATGCTGGCCAGATAAATCATGGAGAGTGCCACAGAAGGGGATCCATAAGTGAACAGTTTCCCAGAGTTTATTTTGGACCAAGGGAAGGCGGTTGCCTTTGGGAAGAAGCTGTGGTAAATGAAGCAAAACAGCAAAGCCCTCCCCAGCTGAGAGATGGAGACAGCCCACACCTTTTTAAACTGTATCATTCCCTAAAGAGCTTTAGGTTCACTTTGATATCTGAGAACAGCCCAGACTTTGCCATCAAAATCAGACTTATTAAAAAAAAAATAAAAAGAAATAACAACCAAACCTAGCTCACTTGAGAGCAAATATTTTGTGACTATTACATGTCCCAAGACCTTTTGAACAGACACCCTGTGGATATACGGCCTTGTGATGGCCACGCTGAAAACCATGGTGCTGCACGCCCAGGTGTCACACTGAGTCCTGGGAAACTGAGGCAAGGCTGGGGGGACAGCTTGGGCATTGAGCTGCAGGAGGCACAGGCAGTGCCATTCCCAGACCGTGCAGTGCCATTCCCAGACCCTGCAGTACATTCCCAAACCCTGCAGGGCCATTCCCAAACTCTGCAGTGCCATTCCCAGACCCTGCAGTGCCATTCCCAAACCCTGCAGTGCCATTCCCAAACCCTGCAGTACATTCCCAGACCCTGCAGTGCATTCCCAAACCCTGCAGTGCC